AAATGAAAGAGTGGCCATCTGGCAACTCGCCCTTAACCCATACCGTGAGGAGAAAGGAAACAATGGAAAGGAAGAAAACTTGATCAGAAAAAAATCAACCATTTAAAAATACAAATACTGCGAGTTCAGAAGGCTGTAGAAGCTTTGGTAAAGCTTGGGAAGAAACAGTGAAAGAGTAGATGATCTGAAAGGCAAGGTGTGGGTTGTGCAGGGTGAGGGTTAACGAGGTGTTTGTAAGCACATAGCTTTTCACAGACCTCCCTCCAGAAATCTGTAACACAGCTTCAGTTGCTGTTGTAAGAAAGGAAAATGAATGGAAAGCTGTTGTACTGCAGTGTTTCCAGACCCCTGACGTGATCCTGACCTACAGAATTGACAGGAATTCAGACTGAAAGGGATTGGTGCCAGTAGCAAGGACAGCTCTGCTGATATTTGTGAGAGCCACATGTGGCGTGTATCTGCATGGCTTTGAAAATGTGCTCAAAGTGGTACAGCAAACGTGGGTTTGAGCAGGTGCTTAACATTAAACACACATCTAGTATTGTGTTAAATGAGAGCAAACAGATTGAAATTTAATTTGTTTTTAACGTGTCTGAAGTTTGTGGAGTTTCAGCATCACTGTTTGGTATGAAACAGCAGCAGTAAACTCAATTATGTGCTCATGAACTTCTACAAGCAACAGTAAGTAAATAGCAGGTAACATCTCACATAGAGAGCAGTCACTGCTGTTAAAATAATCATCAGAAAATACAGGTACAGTGCTTTCTACAGCCATAACTACAAGATGCATGTAGAAGTATCAGTTTCTATGTTCTGACCTTGACAAAACCTGGTCATAACTTTTAAAACAAAATAAGTCTCTAATACAAAGAAGAGCACAGGTTATATTTATTGATAGCTTTTGAACTTGTGATTTTTTTTTCTGTATTTTTTACTTCATTATGAGAATGAAGTTCTCTAAGAAATTCAATAATTTATTTGTATTCCAGGGATTCTTCTGATTCAAATGCTAACTCTCCCATTTTTTAACACATAATTACTTTTTTTGACATGTAAGGCTCATATACTTTTAATGGGGAAAAAATGCACCAGATCTGATTATCATACAAACTGTTCTTGAAATAAAATGAGTTAAAAGAAAGGCATTGCCAGATCATCCTGTTGTTGGTAGTATCTTAACCCATCTTCCATTCCCTGGCTACACCTCTTAATACTGTTTATGATCATATTTATTTTAGGTAGTAGTAAAATGCTGCTAGTCTTAGTGAAGTTATCCTGGAGTAGTTAGATCAGCAATAGAAGTTTTTAGAAGATCACAATATGCCAGAGAGAGGAATATAACTATCTTGATCAGTTCACAGCTAGACAGAATGAGTAATCATAATGCATCCCAATTATGTTGTCTAATATGAGGGCCCATTTGGCACTTCTTTTTTTCTTCATATGCAAGGATATTATCATATTAGATGAGACCATATAGCCAATGGGGTTACTATTCATAGATATCCTTGTGAGCTGCCAGTGTCACAACCAACAGCTCTGGAAAATGGAAAATTTGTGATCTTATAAAAGCAACAATAAGGTGCAAAGCAGTGTTTGCCTTCTGTACCTAAGTCAAAGCTAGTTCAGCTGGGTACTGTTCCTGAAATAATTAGAAATACGTGATAAACATATATGCATTAACTTGAATTACACAAGACAGGCCTGTATGCTATTATCCAGTTAGTCTTGTACTTCTGCTTGCCCATGTCTCTCACAGGATATAAGTGCTGGCTGGATTCAGCCCTTTCCTCCTTTCCCACTTTTCGTGTTTTGGTTTCTCCAAAGCATAGTAGAATTCTACTTCATTTCTTCTGACTTTTTGGTTATTGCTTCAGTCCTGGGGAACAGCATCCATGGAATAAGAGGAACAACATTGGAACTCTACCAAAATCTGCTTATTCTGTTAACCCTTTTGCTGTGTTGCTTATATTTTAGTTGTTTCACTGAGCTGGTTAGTGTGAAATGTTGATGCTTAATGTATGCATGTCTTTGAAACAATGATCGAATCAAGATTTTTAGTAGTCTGTGGATAAAGGGACTTCATAATGAAAAGTGTTTATCAGTGGGAGCAGGAACACTTCTGACAAATCACTGCTGAACTTCATCTGCGTCCTTGTTTTTTTTACTGGTTGATAAAGCAGTGAAAGTATTGAAGAGTGGCAATGATTAACAGAAAGCAGAGACTATTGTGATGAATAATGGGAGAAAGAGCAACTCTGAAAATGAATCTGAAGTTTAACATCATCATTTTTAAATCATGAATTTTAACTCTCTTAGTTCCATTTCAATTAAGCTTTTTCCCCAAAATAATCTTTCTTCAGGTTTCTTTGCTGGTGTAGGGCAGCTGTCTAAAACATCAGGCTTAAACAAAGAAAAGCTTCACCTTCATTTTAGGGCTTTCTCATGCAATTCTCTCTCTGCAATGTATCTGTGAACAAATTAATATTTGAGAACAAAGAATACCGAGGATAAGATTCAACAAGTTTTCAAAATTGTACACCTTGAGAAGACATTGCAGTTGTCATAGTTCAGAAGCTGTTGAATTGTATCACAACTGATATAACTACATAATTCCACATCTCACAGAATTGCACAATTGTTTCCAGATTTTTGTTCCTGTAGAGAAGCGTGTGTTTAATTGGCTGTGCAAAGACGCAACCTTTACTGTGTATTTTCTTCAGTGTTAAAGACTGAGATGAAGAAAAGAGTTTCTCAATTCTTTCTAACAAGTCTCTCATTCTTAGCTCCAATGAGGTAAGTGCATTTTCTGATACAAGTATGACAATGCAAAGTATTGATGGCGTGTAGGATAAAACCTTGTTTCATGTAATTCTTCTGTCACTAAGTCACTTATCAGAAAGGTTCTCTGTGACGTTGTAAGCTGATTTCCCAGCACACTTCTCATGTGAAATTGTTTCAATAGCAAAATACAAAGCTAACCGTGCTTGTAGAAGTTTTGAACCATGCAATAGGTTTCTTTTAAGATTTCTTAGTTTTGGTGGCTGTTTTTACTAATTCTGATATGCATTACCTTACACCTGCAACCACAGTTAAAATGTTCATCTTCTACTGAAAACAACAAACCATAGACTTTCTCAATCCCTTTTGTCTTTCACAAATAATTTTCACTCCCACTTTTTCCTTTCTCATGTGGTGATTTGACATAATTAACTGCAATTGGGTGTATTGTCAGTAGTTCATCAGCTCCATTTTTTTTGGGAGTGGGTAAGTTCTTGATTACTACGATTACTAAAAGGTCTTCCTGATATCTTTGAGTGCTAGATGCCTTTGAGGCTTAAGTATTTTATTTAGAAAAATGATATGCATGAAAATATACGTAGTGAGCATTTTTTGTTGCTGTTGGAGCTAAAAAGATTCAGGAGACATAATTGCTGCTCTGCAGACACCTGAAGCAACATGCTGATTTCATACCTGATTTCTTGTTTGTTCCTGGATATGGACGGGAGAAAGTTTACCTGTGTTTAGTAAGATTAATCACATATTCAATCCTGAAACAAATGTTTTTAGATAACTTGATGGTATTGTCTATGAACAGTATGAATGAATAATACTTTTTTTTCTCTGATCACAGCTTCTTATTTACCCAATTAAAAAACAAAATAAAACAAAAAATAATAATGAATAACATGACCTTTTGCAAGTATTCCCAATCCTTGGAAAGACAATTTTAATAAAAGAACATGTCATTTCAGGTTGATTTCAACAGTGTAAGGGTATATCAGTGAATTCTCTCTCTTCCTTCCCCTCCCCCAACCCCAGATGTCTTTTCCAAAAGAATGCCATTCTCCTGTGAGCCCGGTAACATCCATGTTCTTCTCATATGTTTCCCCATATGGACTTTTCTGACTTTCTCAGTGCAGTCCAAGAAGACATGTGGTGGGGATATTTGTGTTTAAATAAATAGGATCAGATGGGCAAGGGGACTGCATTGTATGGGGAAGGACGGAGAAGGTCATGGCCTTGGAGAGATCTGTGTGGCTGGAGTTACATGGGAGGTGGTGAGAGTAACTTGGTGGGTTGTCATGCAGAACACGTGCTCTTAGCACTCAGAGTGCAGAAGGGTACACTGGGGATCTTGTGTGAAGTCTGAAGTGGTTGTTCTGCTGACTCCCCTCTGACAGCTAAGGGAGTCTATTGATTTTTATATATATACATATATGTATTTTTTTTTTCCCCTGTTAATTTCATTTCCCTCTCCTCCTTCCCTTTCCCACCATCATAAACACCCACACCCCTCTTCGGGCCACCCCCCGCGAGACGAGCCTTCCTAGGAAAAGCAGAAAACGATCTCAATCTGGACACGGCAGGCAGACAAGCAAAGGGGACAGCACAGTCGGATGAGGCAGACGTGAATCCTGTGAAAGCCCCCCGCCCCGCTGGGCGGCCCGCAGGCAGCTCTGCCCTCCCCAGGAGGGCTCTTTGGCCACGCCTCCTTTGGGGCAGCCCTTGGTAGAGCTCGAGGGCACTTGCACAGCCCCGGACGAGAAAGGGGCGTGCTGAAAAACATCAAATCCACACCTACAGGAGGAGGACGGCGTGGAAAGGGAGGGAAGGAAGACGTGGAGGACAACGTAACTTACATGCCAAGGCTTTTCCTTAGGAAGCAAACCTCCTGCGATCCCGGGGAGCTCAGCCCCACTTGGAGATAAGGATGAGGAGCCGCCTCGACCGCGCAGCGCTCAGCTCCCGCCCCGTCCGGCACGGCTGAGCGCCGCTTCAGCACCACGGACAGCGCCAGCAGCGCCGCCATGGGGGGCCGCGCCCGCGCAGCACCGCGCAGCGCCCCGCGCCTCTGAGTGGAGCCGAGTCGGGCCGACGCGCACATGTAAGCTGCTGCGGAGCGGCGAGCAGCGGGTTCTGCTTCTTCCGGAGCCGATTCTCTTTTAGTCTGGCTCCAATACCAGTCCGTAGTTGTGCCCTAGGAAGTTTTGTTGGGAATGGAGATGTCTCAGTGTAGCACAGTCTTCCACGAACCTGGGTCTGGGCTGGCATTGAGATGGGTGGGTGGCTATGAGTGCAAGCGGTTTGGCTTTCTACCCTTGGAATTTGTGAAAACTGCTGGGTTTTGGTGTACCTGTAAGGGTTTGCTGTTTGTTGCTGGATATATGGTTTGGAGCTATGTTGTTGTCTTCTCTTACAGTTGGGTGAATTTTTTTTCAAGGGTTTGCTTGTCTTGGAGACAGTTTGACCAAAACAGAAAGAGGGAAAATGACAGGGCTTAAAATTCAACATGGTATCATGTCTGTTTCAGCTTGCTGGGTCTGAGTGTCAGGAGTCTTTTCGTGTTTTTTCTTATCTTGTGACAAATACCGAGTGAGCAAGTTGAAAAGGGTGCAGCAACTGGGAAAAACAAAATACACTCAGAACTGAGATTTTCAGTTCTTTTCAGATGTTTTTCTTTTTTCTTTTTTCTTTTTTTTTTCTTTTTTTTTTTTTTTTTGAATAGAACTGTTTGATCAAATCCAGCATTACACTGCCCCCTGCTTGCACAATTAGAAAAAAAATTTCATTATTGTCATCAGTAGTAAAAATTTATGAATGAGAAGGTATTCCTCTGTTGTGTTCTGGGTGTGATCTCAGCTTCACTTTTGAAGTGCTTCAACAGAGAGGATGAACTAGTCCTAATTCAACAAGCTAGGTATATTTCTTTATTTACAGTAACAGATTCCTTTCATGGCAGTTCATCTGGTGGCCAAACGTGTTAATGAATGAACAGTTGGAGACAACGTCAGAGTAGAGCTGATTTTGATATATCTCACAAGCATTCTGTAACAGCTTTGCAATAATCAGACGTTTTCAATACTATCCATGAAGGAGCAATAAAGAATGGGGAAAATAACCCTGAAAATATGTTATAAAGCAAGAGTAAATTGAATATAAGAACAAGATGATTATTTCACAGCCTCTTCTAGCATTAAAGACTTGTGTTGATGAGTTTTCTATGGAATGGGAAAGAGCATGCTGATCCTTAAATTATGGGAAGGGGAAACAGCTAAGAAGCAGTGAATTTTTATCTATTTATTTTCTTTGTGTTGTGTGTGTGTGGGAAAGATATCTGGTAAAAGTCATATTCCATTTCCTTTTTCTCAAACCCCAGAGCAGAGCTACCTGCCTTAAACCAGGGAGGAGTTCAGGGAGGATATCAGAGTTTAGGTGCCAATAAAGATTCAGTGCTCTCTCAGTGTTTTTGGGATACTGGCCTGAGACCTTATGCTTTATGATAACAAGATTATGGAAGTTGGTGTGTATAATTCATCCTTAATGACATGTATGACATGTAAGACCTGGTTTGTATGACCGAATGTATCTTACCATGCCATTTCTTACAGAGATTTCAGAAAGTGTGGATTTGCTATTTGCACCTGTATTTCCTCAAGGCCTCTTTTCAGAGATTGACCTTGAAATATCATTTTCCTTTATCTACGAGCAGTGGGAATGGTGGAGGAGGGGACATTTACTTCTGCAACTGCTTTGAAGGACTATTCTGCAAATGAATGAATTGCTCCAATATTTATTGGGCATGTACCACCTTCCTCCCCCACCCCCCCACCACCACTGCATGAATAGAGTTAAAATATTCCATTAATTACTCCTGGATATTTCATATAGGACAGGAACCACATTGCTAACAGTATTGTCATAGTCTAGCTATCTCAAGACTAAATAAAAAAAAAGGGCTTTTTTTGCATTTCAAAGGGTAGAAAGCTTAAGCATTATCTGCTGTTAATCAAAACCAGCCATACCAAATGATATTCAATATGCACAGTAAATCAGCAGTATATGAAAAATGGCATCTAAAACTTTTGATCTAAAGGATAATGTTCCAATTTAAGGTTAGATTTAGAGAGTTATTTAAGATATTGGAAAAAAAAGAGGATCTGAGAGAGATCTGGTAATAAACACCTATGCAGCATTTGAAACTCCAATGTAGCCTGTTGCATATATTAAAACATTTGAAGTTTGAGTTCAGTCTGTGGTTGTCCTCTGAAGTTGGAGTCCGCTTCAAAACATGCTATCATTTTTTTATCATGAAGGTATAACACTTATTTTTGCTCAGAGCAATTTAATATACTCTTTAAAATTGATTAATTTCTGTTTAACTATTTGTTTCTTGTCATAATCCTTAATAACCTTAATTTTTGTTCATGTTCCTAGCACGTCTCTAAACAATTTGGTTTTGTATGTGTGTGTGGAAGGAGTGTTCAGTACACAAAAATGGTCCATTTGATGCCTAAAATCCGTGACCATTTCAAAGAGGCCTCAGGGATTCTGCAGCCTTTTTGTGCCCTGATTATTTTTTAAAAACATTGGTGTAAGTAGAAATTAAAATAAGAAGTAAATAAGAAATAAGAAGTAAACTGGCAGTTTCTGAGTCTCCTCAGGAACTAAAAAGTTATGTTTTTAAAATGGTTTTCAGAAACTTAAAGTTCCTTTTCACCCTGGTGACGTCAATGTCTTATCAATGCCTACCCTCCTGGTTGTTTTACTCAGTGTGGTTCATAGTAATGGTTACTTATCCTAGATTTCAGTTGAAGTTTCAGGACAAAGAGAGCAGCTGAAAAAGTACAAGGGAGACTCCTGCAGCTTCTCTCCACCAAAAGGAAATCCAAAGAATAGCCAGTCATTAAGTTCCTAAAGCTGCTTTTCTAAATGCCCTGCTCAACATTTAGGGTTTTAGTCAGGTAAAAGCTGACATCACCTGAGATTTCCAGTCTTACCTCAAACACAAATACCCATTGATTTCAACACCTATTCAAGCTTCAAGTGTATCTACTCAAGAAGATACCATTCAACCTGTCCCATGTGCTTTCAAAGTACCTTTGAAAATTTTCTCCAACCCTGAGCTCCAGGTGGTAGTCTGGCTGTTTCACAGTTGCTTTCACTATACAGGAACATGCTGTATGGGACCAAAGGGTTGGCAGAAGACCCTGCATGGTGTAAATGGTAGCATTGTGAAAGGGAGGGTCAAAGAGACAACCCCTTTGCTAGGATATGCTCAAAATGAAGCAGCCCAGTTTCTTCTCTCTTTCCCTTGTCCCACACATCTGGCACTTAACCAGGTATGGAAATTTGGTTGTGAAAGAAAGATCTTCATCTTCAACAGTGTTTTCAGTGACACCTCACTAAGAACAAGCTATGTTATACCATGTTCCCATGTGAGGCACTGAGTGTCTCAGCTCCTAGTAACTTCACTGCAAGCTGCAAGGACCTACACTAAGCCACTTCAATTAGGAGCTGGGATATTCCCAGAAGATGATTTGTTAAAAGCTACATCACTACAGAAATGTTTTTTCTTCTCCTCTCACCACAGGAGTCCAGATATCTTATGGCTCCCTCAGCTGTATAAAGCTGGATGTACATTGCTGCAAGCTGTACATGGGCCCATTTCTTTTTCCCAGAACACTTTATATCCAAAACACTGCATACACTGGCATTCTTTCCTAGAAAAAGACAATATTTAATTGCAGTGCTTGATGAGCTTGATCACTAACTGTCTCAGTAAAATTGACATACAGAGACATTTCAATACGAACCCCCTTTATACAAAAATGGGAAGATAAATGCAATCAATTTACAATTGCTTTTTGGTTGTTTTTTTTTTTTTTTATTAGGAAGACATTACACACACAGTAAATATGATTAATCCTGAAACTGCCTGCACATGACTGAAAAGCAGAATAGAAAAATGTGCTGAGTACAGTCATGACTTCATAGAAGGGTTGGGTTTCCAAGATTCTTTGATGATGCATAAATTACTCTTCACACTGTCACTTCTCTATCACGATTCAGTGATTGTGTCAAACATAATTACAACTTTCTTTTCAGAACAGGAGTTGATAGCTGAGCGATCCTCATGAAATCGTTCAAAGTTAAAAGTATAATTTTTTATTCATCTCCTGCTCTCCATAAAGTGCAGTGGCAGAGATATTGATCTTCCGTGCTCATGCCCTATGACTAGAGGTCATAATTCATCTGAGGTGAAGCCCTCTGAATTATGGTGCCTTTTCCCCTTCCTCTAGGCAGTGGAGATTAAATCTGTGCTGCAGGGACAACCCTGTTGAACATGTATTATAAGCACAAGGTTATATATTATTATTATTATTTTTGAGCTTGTATTCTTTTCTGTTTCCTCTTTTTCTATATAATTTCTGTTGCTAGACACTGTATGAAACCAGTATAGTCTCTGAATTGAAGGAAATGAAATGAAGGTCCTTTTTTTGGCATGTTATTACAACAGACTGGTGTGAATTAGCTCTAGGCTAAACTCTAACCTCCTTTTTCAGGCCAAACTTCCAGTTGTCCAGTGATAATATTATTGTGGTTTTGTGGGTTTTTTTCTGCCTCACCTGTCAGGAGAAAAAAAGCTATATAAACATTTATATGTGTGTGTAGGTATATGTATATATCAGGAATGTAGTTGGACACTGAGCAGAATATCTAATACGTTCCTCACTGCTGGAATTGCTCCAAATTTCTGGGATGCTTCCAGTACTAACCATTAAAAATAACAACAAATGTATGTTTGCCAGTAATTTATTTGCCATACAACATTTTTAGAACATAAACGCTTTTTGATGATCAGAAGAAGCCAGTGGAATTCCTCTTGCATGAAGCAGCTATTACAATTTTATTCTCCACTCTTCTATTTTTTGTCTTACTTCCCCTATTCTTTTCTCCTCCTGAAGAACATAATACTGAAGGCAACGTGTCTCCTGGCTCCTTTCCCTCTTGTCACTCATGACAGTACTTTCAAACTCCATTAGTAATTTTTCAGAGCAACACATGAACTTTTCATTGAGTGAAGGTCAAAACTGACTTGGAGAACAGATGGGGTGTGGAAAGATGAACCTTTGCCACCCACTGAGCATTAACACCTGCTTATTTCTTACATCTGCCTGCTTCAGCTTACATGCTCCTGAAAATTTTACCCAAGTGAATTAGGACTTGCAATTGGATGGAGTGCAAATGGCATTTGTGAAAGTGGTTTTGTTTTTACCTTCTTAGTCATGCTTTGCATTCTTTGAAGGTGGAAATTAACTTCATGTGCTTGGAACCTAACAGAGGGACCGTGATTTTGTTGAAATGCTATTGCAGCAAAACGTAAAAAGGGCTACAGTAAGATGGTACTGAATGCAAATTGTGAATGCTTCAAAAGCATGGGGAGATTTAGGATTTCTGCTGGTTTTATACAAGGATGTGCTACTTCCTCTCTGAGCCCAGTTATACACAGCATAATTTTCTTTGGAGTTTCCAGAGAAGATGGCATAGAATAGTTTGGCTTCATGCAACCATCTCCAAGCGAAGGCATTTCAGCCACGTAATCAGTGGGGAAACTAATGACCCCTTCTCATCTGTTCCTTCCTTCATCTTCTGTTGGTGGTCAAATATCTGAATCGTTGTTTTTCAACAGTAGCTCTCAGTAAGCTTCTTTCTCAGGAGTGATCCTGAAATGAGGGATTATACCTGTGTTTTACAATACTGGTCTCTGGATTTGAGTACTTGTATTTAGAGTAGCTGCCAACTGTATTTCAACATGAAAATTAGACAGTCATTCATTAAACTACTCTAGATCAGGAAAGAGAAAAATGGTATTATGTAGCATGGAAACAAGCAGTGAATGAAAAGGTGGTTTGTTTGTGCCAGCTGAAACTTAGCAGAATGCAATATATTTATTATATATATATATATAATATATATATATATTATATTAATATTTATTCCTGTTATTATATGTTATGATGTGTTCAAAACTAGATGCATATTTTTTAAGTTTATAGAGTATAGCTTATTGGTCTGGTACAAGAGCTATTGATGTGCTGATCTTCTTTAGTTTACCCCATTAAGAGTAATTAAGAGAAATACTTTGTTATGGATACAGTTCCTAAACAAACAAGAAAAAATAATGTACTTGCACTGTTTTTTAAATGAAGTTCTCAAACTAAGAATGTTCTTGGCATTATTGTTGAAATCCAGTGTGTTGTAGATCAGGAAAAAACTTGCCTGTTATCCAGAAGAAAATATTCTTTATTCCATAGGTATCCTAAATTATTTTAAATGCCTGGCTCAGAGCATACAGAGCCAGCAAGATCAGATCATAACAACGCATTTCCAACTTTACTTCAAGTTACGTGGAGTTATGAATCTTCAAAAGCATGACTTATGTTCCTTTGCGCTGTTTTGTTTTTCTTTTTTTTTTCCCCAGGTTGAGAAACAGCAATTATAAAAACATGCATCGAAGGCACACAACCCTTCGGGAGAAGGGCCGCAGGCAGGCCATCCGGGGCCCAGCCTACATGTTCAATGAGAAGGGCACCAGCCTGACTGCAGAGGAGGAACGCTTTCTTGATTCTGCAGAATATGGCAACATTCCAGTCGTGCGAAAAATGCTGGAGGAGTCCAAAACCTTGAACTTTAATTGCGTTGATTACATGGGACAGAATGCCCTACAGTTAGCTGTAGGGAATGAGCATTTGGAAGTGACGGAGCTCCTCCTCAAAAAGGAGAATCTAGCTCGAGTTGGGGATGCGCTGTTGTTAGCCATCAGCAAAGGATACGTGCGCATAGTGGAAGCAATATTGAACCATCCCGCCTTTGCACAAGGGCAGCGTCTCACACTCAGTCCCCTTGAGCAGGAACTGAGAGATGACGATTTTTACGCCTACGATGAAGATGGAACTAGGTTTTCCCATGACATTACCCCTATCATACTTGCAGCCCACTGCCAGGAATACGAAATTGTTCACATCTTACTTCTAAAAGGTGCACGGATTGAAAGGCCACATGACTATTTTTGCAAGTGCAATGAATGTATTGAGAAGCAGAGGAAAGACTCCTTCAGTCACTCTCGATCGAGAATGAATGCCTACAAAGGATTAGCCAGTGCTGCTTACTTGTCTCTTTCCAGCGAAGACCCCGTCCTTACTGCTTTAGAATTAAGCAATGAATTGGCCAGACTAGCCAACATTGAAACTGAATTTAAGGTAACTTACTTCCATGGCATTTTTTCGTGGGTCAGATGTGTTCAGTGTTCTTTCAGTGTGTATTTCACACATGTGATCAAGTAGTGGCTTTCACTCTTGGGGGGAGGAAACAGAAAGTATAGAATCTGTCTATATGTGTTCACAACACACAGATCCAGATCAGTACGCATTCTGCAGCTAATAAGCTTTTGGAACTGAGTACTGCATATTGCATCAGTGCTGTCCTTACTGGGAATTTTTATATTGTACTCTATGATTGCTTAGAATCTTTAGTTTGAAGCAGGAATAAAACTTAAATTATTTTATTCCAAAAATGAAGACTCAGCTCCTGTAAGAAAGGTAAGTCTTTTTAACTGCTCAGTGTATTTTTAGAAGCAGAGCTCTAGAATCTGGTGTAATTGATTGAGAATCCAGAACATCTAGTTCTGTTCCAATGATAAAAGGTATAAATTAAGCACTTTTGGTTTTCTGCAAAGTAATTAAAATTGCATTTCAACTTAATGGTTGAGTACTCCATCTCTGTATGATGAATTTCATTAAAAAGGAGGGGAGAAATAATAAAGAAATTGTTATGAAGTCAATTACCATGCCAAACAACGGTGGAACTTGCAGAACTCTCTGACAAGTTATTCAACATTTGCATTATCATAATGAGTTTGTAAATGTCCAATGTCATTTGCATTATTTCTCTAAGTCATTTACATCTCATAAATAGCATTGTCTCCCTTTATAAAATAAATTAGTCATGAGAAAACTCATTTTCAGTGGTTCAGTCATCAACTTTAAGCTGTTTTCTGACTTACAACTATTGTGCAGCTACAATCACGATCAATGACACTGGGGTAATAAAGCATACATTGTGAGTAAACTGGTGTAGAATGCCAGCCAGAAATCCATTATTTTTAATTTAGAAAACTATTCAAGTGTTAAAGCATCCATTTCATGACTTAAAGCTACATGATTGCTAATCTAAGTCTGACAAGAAGCATGATCTCAAGCTGTTACCTTTGAAACAGCGTAGTAAGTATAACAAGTGGAAAAATACCCAAACCATGGACCTTTGAGGCAATAAAATTAGGGCAAAATCTTACAGTGTCCTTTTTTTTCCCCTTATGAATCAGAATTGGAAGAACACAACAGTTGAAAAGAGAGTTGTTTTTTTTTTCTCTCTGTCCTAGAAGAAGTCTCACTGAGTTTTCTGAGACAGCTGCTGAAGTGAGGGTTACTTTGGTGTGAAACCACGTGGGTTCACCCAAATTGTTAACAACATTAATATCTCATTAACGTTCCTTCTTCTCAGTAGAGGACTGTCTCCTTGCGCGGAGCATGAGCAGTCTCAGTATTGCATGCCTGTCAGCTCTGATAAGAGTCTTGCTGAAGAAATGCAAATCTACCAGAATCCCTCCTTTTGTTCATAGAGCTGCCAGCGTAGTCTAGACTGGCATTGGCAGGTACATGAATCCTCCAGGAGCAAACGAGATGGAATGCTGAATAGTCTCGTGATGGTTGGCCTCCATCTCCCCAGGCTGACAAACGGATGTGAATAAATCAAGAAAGGAAAATCACTAGAAAACATTCGCCAGTTTATTGTATTTTCAGGAATGTTTTCCAATTTTGCTGCCCAGTGAGAAGCTTCTGTGCAAAACACACGTATGTATATTAATCAGGTACCTCTGATAAGCTGATCCAGTAGTTTACTTTCACATTCTTTTAATATATTGCCATTTCTAGAAATAACAAATATCTCAAGATTATGATGTACTTTGCTGTAGATGAAAATCAAATTATGTATGTATTCAAAAATATTTATTCTTATTAACATAATCAATGTGGCCCAGAATACAGCAGGAGCTTTTTTCACAGAACATGACATTTTGAGAATTTATTTCTAGAAAAGAATGCATTCATTGGAGATGTATTTAAGAAGTCCATAAATTAGGAAAAATGTATGAAATCAAACAAGCTCCAGAGGTCTTCTTTTGTGTGCATCTGAAAATAATATTTTCCACAACTTCATAGTTTGTATTGCTGAGGTTCTGTAGTTACCATCAGTGCTCCACAACTATATGGAATTATCCCTTGGAATTATTTTGAATCAGGTAATTACGCACAGTCTTAACAATGCAGTTTTCAAGAGGAACAAAAAGTCCTTGAAACTGAAGGACACAAGTAAGATTTTAATAATGTAGGTGAAGAAATAGTAATTAAGGGCTAGATCACCTACCTCTGAAGAAACTCTTAGCATGAGATAATTAAAATATAAATGCAGAGCCTCTCACCTGCTGCTTGCTGCCCACAATCACTAATGCACCACTCATAGCAGTATTATTGAGGTTAAAATGGAAGCCTGGACATGTGATAGAATCTCACTGCTGACCTTTGGCAGCACTTCTGCTGACTGATCAATAGGTCTTTAATATTGGGAGATGTTCTGGGTTACCAATCTGGGTGGATATGCTGCCCTATTGAACTCCTTTCTTGATGTTCCGAAGGAAGATCAAGGCAGTCATTTACAATGTAAATTCCCCCATGTAGAAAGGAGCAGTGGAGACTCAGAACTGGAAGAAAGGTGGAAACTGACAGAGCCGATGGATGCCAGTGGTTTTATTGGAGCAGATCGACTATTGGGTTAAATCAGTGCTTTTTCAGTCAAGCTGAGATGAAACTGCAGAAGATGAGGATCTGTTCCGCTACCTACAATAAATGCATACTCTCGAATAAGCCATTATTTCAAGCAAATCTGATTTTTGCAAGGCTTATTTATAAGGGGGGAAAAAAAAGAAAACGTGAAATATGGTTACATTTATACAGAAATTATTTAATTTCTTAACTTTCAATTCTCTAATGTCAAAGTCCTCCCAAAAAGAATCAAACGAAAAAACTAAAAAGCTTTTTAATAAGCACTAGAAAACGAATTGCTTTCAGAGACGTATTCTGTGAGTCTAGAAATATGTAATTCAATCAGAATATCGTCCTCTCCCAAAAATTATTGTACTGGTTGTTTCAGCTGAGAATTGTCGCAATTTGAGTGCATTAAATGACCTGGCAGTTAGCCTAAAAATGAAGCAGGCAGGAAAGTCATCCAATGTGTATTCTTGAAATTTCGGAATACCTCCCAGTATTTGTACATGTTGCATGCATCTCATATTGTGCTTCTAAGTAGAGCTGAGTGTTAAACACAGCTGGCTATAAAAGGAGGTGTTAAGCATCTGAAGCTCCAGGGGGAGGCTGTGCTTTTACTCAAACTGAAAGATCTATGTACACTCCCATTTCTTTCAAAGTTGGCAGACCTTGAGCATGAGTCATAAAGCAAATAATCCTTCTGTCTTCGATCAGTGAATCCTGTTTGTTTTGCTCGTGCAAGTAAGCTTCCAGTGTGAATAACATAGGCAGGATTTGTCCACACAAATAAGACATTGCCTGTGAATCCAACTGGTAAAGGCTGCTCTTCTCTCCAGTCCAGGGAGATCAATCTTCCTCATGTCACCTTGGCATGAAGCTGGATGCAGATTTCTTCACAGATATTGGCTCTTCACAGCCAGGTGACTCTTCTAAGGCTGAGATATTAATAGCAGAGTCAATAGAATCATTTCTGTGTGTCCACTGATCTCCTTTTGGAGATAATCTTTCTAGCAGTCTGCAGAAATGTTTGCACCTTGCAACTTAAAGGCAGCATCAGGCCTTATTACAACACTTCACATCCTGCAAACGGAGAACAAGAGCAGTAGCTCTGCTCTTTTTTTTTTAAGCTGTGATGGAGCACTCCTCTTTCTGGTGGGATCCCAACCCACACCCAGGTTTGTTTTGCAGCCTGGCATGCTCCAAAATACACGACATGCTTTGAGTGGTGAAGACAATCAGTCAATTCATTCTATTTAGCAATCCAGACAAATTCAATTACAGAATCACAAAGGAAGCTGTGAAAAATCTCATGAATTGTATGTGGTAAATAAGTTCTCAGCTCCTGTTGACTAAAATATATATGAAGGTGTGATCAAAACCACCACCTGGAAAACATATGGTGTGTGCTCTTTGTTTATCAATCCTACCAACACTTTCTGTTCATTTACTATAGCACATGTTTTGTTTCTAACTGCCATATCTCTTGCTGATGCTCTCTGATTGACTGTAGTGCTTTCTCTAAACGATTTCAAGATCCAAAAGTGACCTTATCCTGTCTGTGTGTGTATGTGGCACATCCAGGCTCAGCTGGTTGATGGGCTGTGCCTGGCTGCTGCCCTATTTACGGGGAGCATTGGCTTGTGTGGCAGCAAGTCAAGTGTGTAGCTGCCTACAGAGATATGCCTGCTAGGAACTGCTTGTCATTTCAGTGGGGCTGCAGTAATGTGAGACAGCTGAGACTCAAAGCCATGAACCCTCAGGGAACGAAAAAGAATGGCAAAACATCCCAGGAGACTTAATGGCATGTATCAGTTAGGGATGATCTGGCATTCCTGCAATGAAACTTTTGCTCCTGTAACTCAGTACTACTTTTTTCCACCTAGGTCATTAACAGAATGTGCTTGACCAAAACACTGTAAGAAAAATAACCTTGTAAAATTCCTATGCATTCCTTGCTTTATCTCTGCAAACGTGGAATTTGCACCAGACCGACCGCACGCTGAGTGATAGTAGTGACACTGATACATAGTACTGCTGCTGCAAGACAATATGCACTGCTGTATCTGATTGTATCTTGCTGAAAAGCTGCAGTTCTGTCCAAACAGAAGAATCTCTTTGGCATTTTTCCTCTCAGGACTGCCTGGAGGCATTCCCTAAGTTTATTTTCATTCCCATGAAAATAAAGACACTGCTGTGGGAATCTTTCTAATTAACTTCATGAACACTCTTGTAAATCAATAACTTTTTTTCTACTCTGACCAATTCTTCCACAAGTGATCCTTTTATCCCTCCATAATCCCTTGCTTCAATATTCTCTCTGGCATGCATCTTCCCTCTGACACCTTTTATTAGTGATATTTATTATTTCTGCAAGATGC